AGATAGCGCATATATATTCGCGTGAGCGGAATGTTGATCATTTTGTTGTTGACTTACTATGATTAATGCCGGACTTGGTGTCTAGGTATGTTGTGGCCGCCGAAAGTCAGCACCGGGAATGAAAGAATTTATAAAATTAAATTCACGAGCCTTAGAGTTCACGAGTCTTAATTTTCATTCGAAGTTTTCATTCGAAAAGTTCAAACAACTGAAACACCACCAAAATATCCAGAATGTTGCTCGGAATCAATAAAAATCCGAATAAATCTTTAAATAGATAGATATTTATCTAAAAAATTCTATTTTCATTTATAATTAACTAACTCGATATGTTTCGAATCTGATTGATCATATCAATATTATTTCTTCAATATTTAATATATATTTTATAAACGAACAAATTATGTATATATATATATAAATTAATTATTTTTAAGATTATTTATATTAAATAATCAATTTTTTAATATTTAATTTTTGGCACATCACGGATCGTAAAATCTCTCCTCCCGACTCTCGATGATTTTGCAATTTATACAATTCATGCGATTGTGTTAATATCGAATTATGAAACACACGAAAAGGGAACGACGGTAATTTTTTCCTATATAAGAACACAAGTTTCGAAGCATACGGTGACTCAGAATAGTCCGACGAGAATGAGTCAAAGCCGAGTTAGGCCGATAAGTGGATCGTTTCACTGAAAAAGGAAAGATCCTTCGAGAGCCAGTGATCTACGATGGCCTATCATTATCTATCGCGATCGCAGAACAGTCGTCCAGTATTCGATGATCGACTTCGTAAATCGATTCACGTAATTCTTACACAATCGATGTGTAACTGTACGCATTTACTTATATCGATTCGATTTAATATATCGTTTTATTCCTTTTTTTTTTTTTTTTTTTTTTTTTTTTTTTTTTTTTTTTTTTTCTTTCATCATCCAGTAATTAATATTAAAATATCAAATACTTTTCTTATCTTTCGCAATTATAATTAATCGATCTTTTAATAAAAAAATAACTTTAAGTTTAAATAAGGCGCTTTATTATCTCTTGAATATCAGGGTTTTTTTTTGATATATTTTAAAAAATGTGTTATAGTTTATCTTATTCGTGTTCAAATTTTATCTGACCGCGGAAACTGAGGCTGAATTTCCGTTCTTTGTTATCTTACAATGTAAATATATACTTTACATTTCTCAAATTATTATAATTATGATTGATTATTTTGAAATTAAAAAATTTGTAATAAAAAATTATTATAATTATTAAAAAATAAATTTGAAAAAATCTATTTTAAAAAAAGATCTATGATATTAATTGATATAATTTTTGTTTCAGTTGCTTTTAACATTAATTGATTTAGTCTAAATTTTTTATGTAATTTTATTCTATTCTATTTTTTTTTTTTTTTTTTTATTTATATTTTTGTTTTCAAATTTGTATGAAATTTACGAAGCATCATGCACGGAAAGAGAAAAGAAAGATTATGTACAGAAATTTTCATGCACTGAAAATTAAATTTGTAATACTTTTAATTAGTAACTAAAACGAAACGAAATTTTTTCTGAATTTAAATTCTTTCGAAGAATATTGGAAGATACTCAATTACTTTTTAAATAAATGCATCAAATTTTATTCCATCGATTATACTATGCTATAATATTTAAATTAAGAAAAGTAATTTACAAAAGTAAAATTATTACTATAATATTAGGAAGAAATATTTAAAAAAAAAATATGTAGACTATTGTTTATATAAAATATTTAAAAAGTAGAAAAAAACCATCAATAGAAAGAAATTAAATATAATTTTACATCTTATATATATTTAATCATTTTAAAATGAATAGTTAGTATGAAATGAATTCTATATTTCTAATAAAAATATCTAAATTAAGAGAATGAAGAATATGGAGAATATCTGCAATATACTTCCATAATTCTTTCATATTCAATAACAAAAATTATAATTATAAAAATCTATCATGTATAGAAAATGTTAAAATAATTTATGTTAAAATAATTTTAATAAAAATAACAAATCAGTGCAAAGAAGAAAAAAATAATATATATATATATATATATATTAACAATTCTATTCTAATATTCTAAATTCTATTCTACTAAATTTCTATAAAATTTTATACAAAAATAATAAAATAAAATAGTATTGTTTTTGTTTATTTTTTATATCTTAAATGCTAATAAAATTTATAATCCTTATTGCATCGAATCCTGTCTAAAACAAAAATATTTAGTTAATTAACTTACCGCATTCGATTTAGGTTTTGAAGCAGCAACATACGCCAAGTATTGAATTACTTTCTTCGTGTTTTCAGTTTTACCAGCGCCGGATTCACCGGTGCATAAAATTGACTGGTCCTCACGATCTGTAAACAAACAAATAAATACAATATACATATGAGCAATATACCTATACCTACAATATATCTATATTTTGAAAAGCATACCCATACTTTCACTTTCAAAATTAAATTTTGAAATTTGAATAAATCAAAAAATGCTAAGATTTAGAGAAGATTATAAAATAACATAAAATTCACAAATTGACACAAAGATGACATATTAATAGTTCTTGATAACCCTTAATGACTCAAGAAATTAGCGAACGACAAATAGAAAGACTAATTACCTTGAAGCATAGAACGGTATGCGGTGTCCGTAATGGCAAAAACATGGGGTGGAACCTCGTGTCTCTTAATACCCTTATACCTCTCCATTATCTTTTCCGTGTAAATTGGCAGCCTCTTGTATGGATTTACCACCACGCAGAATAGTCCTGAGTATGTCTGCAATCATACCAACGAACCGATGTGAATGGCCGAGCGAATAATAGAAGAAAAATTTTCTCCATTAAGCTGATTTTTTTCCCTCAACATAGATGATATTTTGAATCTAAAAGTTATCTGTATAAACGCGTTCTGATAAATTAAATAAAATTCCAATCGTACAAATTCTTTCATAAATGAAATAATGGCATGTATAAGATGAAAATAATGTTTATCGATGATATGTTTATTATCAAAACACAATTTCAAATATGATAGAAATATAAAATGTTTTTCATTATTAATTTTATATTCATATATAGTTTTTGTTTCTTAGTCCAATTTTTGCATTTTATAACATTTATTAAATAAATTTCTTATTTTCTAAAAAAAATATATATATATATATTTCTGACTCATACCATATGTGCGTCTATAATCCCAAGTAATATGTCTCTTGCATTTTTCACATAACGAGTTCAAGGTTAACAAGATATCCATATGTAAATTATCGCCAAAAAAAAAAAAAAAAAAAAAAAAAAAAAAAAAAAAAAAAAAAAAGAATATCATAAAATAAAAATAATATCTTTTTTCTTTGATTCGTTTCTGATATTTTATTTTTCCGAGGTTTCAAATATACGAGGTATAAATAAAATATTTTTCTTTTATGTCGTTCAACATCGTGACAACATTCTCCTCCGCGCAAGAATTTCTCTCATGCTTTTTAGAGGACAATGTACAACCGTTACTGATATGGAAAGCAGTCAGAGCTCCTATCGACTTTTGACTTGCTTGTTTAATGTATATTAAAAGAAATAAACGTTATAACGAGATAAGAAAAATAAAAATCGAGAAATCGACGAAACATCGCGAATAAAATAATGTATAAAAGAAAGAGAAACAAGTTCAACCATGAATATCGCGTTAAAATTTATTATCAATTATTGATACGAAAACGATACATGTGAAGAAAATTAATAGATTTTTAATGTATGGTAATCGATAATTGCATTGAAAAATATAATTATATTAATACGATTAATAACACAACAGTTTAACAATAATAATTAAAAATACGAAAGAATTTATAAATTAACCGAACGATATTAATATTATTGAATCTAATTTTGATAAAAATATGAGATATAAGTTTTTTTTTCCCCTCCCCCCCCCCCCCCTTTTAAACGTTAACTTACTACGCATAAGTAATTCACGTGTGAGGCATTTATATAGAAGTTGCGTAGCAATATATAATACTCGAAGCAATTTGCTACGCACTTTAATCATCAATAACCCTATAAATTGATAAACGACTATACTAGACTGCAGATAAACATGAACGACAACAAAGAAGATCGCTTTATTTTTTTTTTTTTTTTAATTTAAAATTTTTTTAAATTTTTAGAAACGATAGATACGACGAAACGTGGCTCGAATAATAATAATCTAAATCGATAAAATATATTATTTAGTACAGTAGGATGGAACTTTTGGTAATAGCTTTCTTTTTCATTTTAATGAATAATTTAACGACTCGAACGGAAAGCCTGAGGTATGCGTCACCATTCGGGAAAGATGAGCAAGCGGGATCGGTTTACACTTTACACAAGTTCATACTGGTGTGTGTAACCACGAAAAAATGTCAAATAGGAAACGATCGAGAACATTTTCGTTGCCTTCTCTTCAAATTTTAACGTTTTCTCTTCAATTAATCTTTATATTATTTTTTAATATAAAACACGGTAGTGATATATGAAATAAAAAGATAGATTTGGAAGAAATATTATATATTAAAATATAACAACAATTCACTTCACGATAATAAATTGTACCGGTAGTCGATAAGTTCGATAAGAGGTTAAATAACTTTGCTCTGTTTCAGAACAATTGATAAGAGGATGGCGGTACATGGATTTGCGGTACATTCGCTGAAATAATGAAATGGTGACCTAATAATCGATACAAACTATCTTATTGTTATGCATTCAGTCATATGAATCCAAAATTATGTAATTTACAATATATTATATATTCGTGTAATATTTTTAAGAAATTAAATATGTTAAATTTAAATTTAAAACATATTTTTAGAACAAAATTCTTAAAATAGAAGATATTATTATATTATATTATTATTTCAAAATATTTTTTTATGCAAATATACCTCTTGCGATAATTTTTTACAACAAAGAATCCATTATTTTGTTTCCAACAATCTCATAATTTAGAAATTATATTTATACAATTATAACGATTGATAAGTTCAATTGAAAAAGAAAAATCATTTATTGTCTCGTCTATTTTTTTCTTCCAAGACGGATAAACGTAATCGAGATTGAACAAAATCTCAATGCAAAGTAAAGATCCATGGTTATTTTGTTCTCTTTTTTTTTTCTTTTTTTTCTTTTTTTTTTAAACAGAACTCTCTCCTCGAAGGTCTCCAAAACCGGTCTCTGAGAGTGTCGTGTCGTCGACCTGCCTAACATTCTTGGTTATAGCTCACTAACAACCACTGACTTTAACTCCCTCTAAAGGAAAATTGCATCTCTTTCTTGACTTGGTGACGCAGGAAAAAGGTAATGTCACTTTCAACGTTAATTCGTAAAAAATAAAACACTGATTTCCTATCTATCAATGCAGCATAAGCGCTAGCGCATTAATCACTTTACTTTACTTTAATTTTCTTTCTTTTTATTATTATTATTAATATTTATAATCATCGAAAAAAAAGTTTATTTTAAATCTTATTTATCCTGAGAATGTTTATGATAATTCTATGTGTTTCTTTTTCCATATAATTAATAATCATCCAGTTATTTAAATTTTTATTAAAATTACTTGATGCAAAAATAATTGAAGCATATTGAATGCATTGTTTTTCTGCACAATTTATCACGCGTTTTGAAATGCATCATGACACAATACTATTATAGATATATACAAAATATATACTGAAAAAAATAAAAGTATTTATTACATTTTATAATAATATTTTATATAATAATATTTTAATAATTTTATATTTTATATTTTAATAATAATTTGGTAATATCATAGAAATTTGAAATAACTAATAACTAAGGTTAAGAAAAAATGTTTCAATTTTCAATACATTCCAAATTAAGTAGACGTGAAGCACTTTTTTTTTTTCGAGATATTCTGGTTCATAATTGCGCAGAGAAGAAAGTAAAGGAGAAGAGGGAAACGAAAGAAAACTACTCATAGAGAGGGAAAGAAATAAGGAGGAGTGGGGCGATGAAAGAAGGAGAAGGAAGAGAGAAGGAAGACAAGGATATATGACGAAGCGACATATTCGATTTATCCCGGAATCTGCGGTTTCATCAGAGTTTGGTTTCTTTCCTAAGAAGACCGAAACTGCGTGTTTACTATAAAAGGCACGAAATCTTTAACGAAACTTGGCTCTTTCTCTTTTCCTCTTCGACTCGTCATCGGTATATTACCATCGGTACGTTTACGGTACCGCGAGGAAGCAGGTTAAGGACACTCGTCCTTATAAGGACTCCTCCCTGATCGTTCTCTTTCTCTTTTCTCTTCTCCTCTAAATTCGACAGAGAGAAGAAAAACACCAATGTTTTTCGCTCGATAAATAATCATTTCTTACTGACGTAATTCATTTTATAATTCTCGTTGTGGAGATGAGAAGTTAACGAAGCAATGTTAAAATTTAATATACAAATTGTAAAGTACACATGAGAAATATTTCTGAACGCGCCTTTGTGACAGTTTTCAATATAACACAAAAATTATTTAGAAAAAGAAATAACGATTCTATTCAGTTTTATGATAAAGCCGATATTGATTTTATTAACATTCGCGTGAAAAATAAAATCGCTTTAATACTAAGGACGATTATGATTATGATCGATTATGCGTTTAAAGATTTGGATGATTTTTGGAACGTTGTTCGGAATGTGATATATACCGCGGATTGAAAGAAGAAAAATCAGCACGTACGAGGTACATGCATGACGTCATTCCCTCGTGTCCTAGAATGCTTGCCATACGTAAGCAGATATTTCTATATCGTAAGGCCCAATAAAAAACCGCAGTTCTTTTAATTAATATCGATCGATAAAACTCTGCATGATCTTCAGATGCGATTTCAGCTAGACTATTTACCAAATTACCAACAAAGAAAGTATTCAAATAAAAATTGTCTAATTTTTGATAGTTTTTTTTAGATAGGAAATTGAATTCATCTATATCGTGGAAGAGGCTAATTTTTAAAATTCAATTATCAAATTGATAATTATGAAGACTATCAATTCTTTTCTTTATTCTAATTGCCGATATCGTGAATAAAAAAAAAAATAATAATTAACATTGCATTTTAATAGGTAAAAATATTTGTGTCTGATAATCAAAAGATAATATCAACAATTAAAATTTTTCAAATATTAATTCTATATATCTTACTTAATTCTTGATTACACGGTAAAATTTTTGAATTGAAATATAACCTTCGAAGAATGCTAAAAGCTACGGTGAGTCAATGCTACGTGGAAATAAGGTATAGCTGTTATCAGTCCCTGATAACAGTGAACCACGATTGAACTATCTATTAACATTGAAGTTTCTTCTTGAATGTTTCAACTCTACGTTTCCATTTATTATTATTTATCTTATTTTGCTATTTATTTTTTTGCTTGTGTTTACAACAATACAAAAGCGAATGAAACATAAAACATATGAGGTGAATCACCTAAGATTGGAATCTGAGATATTATTCAAACAGTTCATTATACGGAAAAATGTTTTAGACAAAAATTAAATAGTTTCAAAAGAGAAATATAAATTGATAAATTTTTTTTTTTATAATTAAATCTTTATTTTTATTTATATGTTATTTGGAGCTGTGTTTATTTTAAATGACATTTGTTCACATTCTTTCTTTTTTAGAAAACTATATCTTCAAGCTTATGAATCAAATTTGGTGTATTTCATTGTAAAAAAGAAAAAATAAGAAAAAAATTTAATGATATATATATATATATTACACATATTATATTAATATATATATCATAAAAATATAATATAATATATTGTGCAATTTTTTGTGTACAATTCTAAATCAATCAATAGAAAAAACAAAATTAATAACATAAATATTTTTCTTGAAAATATTTAATTTTTATATAAAAAATACATTTTTCATTCATTTGGACAATATGGATCCCAATCTTAGATGACACCCTGTATATGGAATTATCTTTTTTTCTATATATATATATATTAATAACTTGATACTCTGACAAGTAGAATGTTGTCATTGGAATATTATTCCTTCATAGTGGTTCAATGAACAACAATCGTATACATAGAAATTTAGTATACAAAACAAAAAATTACTCTTCAAATTTATACATACAACATATATAATCTTAATCATAAATTTTGTTACGAAATAATAATATTTTATTAAATATATTAATAATTCAAAATTAATTTTTGAATATTTTAAAATTATTTCTTATTTACTTTTTTTATATTTTTATTTACTTTTATAAAAAATTTAATCACGCTTCTTTTTTTTCCTTTCGAGTATTTTTCAATAAAGTTCATTCATTGAAAAACAAGTTACGCAATCATTTATACAACCAAAAATATTTCAATTTATTAATTATTTACGAATAAAAAAAAGATATTTAAATCTTTTCGAT